ACAGCAATAGTTACAAAAGCAAGAGTCCATCACACCTGAGAGGGTCAGAAAAATCTTCACTAATTATTTTTACTTAGTCTTGAAAGAATAGCAGGTATTCACGATAGCATGATCATATTCCTCCATTTCACAAAGTTAACTATAAATAACCATGACTAGAGGAATAATTCTCAAAAAAAGAGAACACTGGAAGTATCACTTAAATAACTTCTAGCATAGTAATCCGGTTCTTATTCATTATCACCAAAGAAAGAGAAAACACACACTGCTACATTAATCCCCAAGCAATCCATACCAACACTAGAGTCACAAAGATAAACCTATTTAGGTTTTCATAGCTAATTTTGGTAGATATTAAAGAGAAATAGCAAGTCGTCAAAAAGAGGGTATTGTTTATTAAAATAAGGCAGTGTATTTGATCTTATTACAGTATTAAAGCAAGGTATTATGTGAGGAGTCCGCTTAGAGAAGCCAAATCACTTGTTCAGTAAATGATTATATTGGAATGTGGCATTTCTGCACACCAAAATGGAAAAAAAATCTTAATTTGGTATTTATCAATAATGCACTGCCAAAAAATAAATAAATGCGAAGGCTTTTATTCTCTGGGGAACTAATACCACCAACAACATTCAATGTCCCATTTATAGCTTTATGTGAAATCATCATTTAACAAATAAGCTTGTGGTAAAATATGAAGAAAAATATCTTCAAATATCGAGAGGATGAGGACCTTTACTAGGAACCATTCAGTACAACTGTGCCTTTAATTACATAGCTCAGATCAAGATCACACAAGAACCACACAAACAACAATATCATGATTAAAAATGACTGTGGAAAAAAAATTAAAAAGTGAGAAAGTGGCTGTCCTTCATTTTATACATTTTGAGAAGAGAACTAGAAAGGTTAATGATATGCCCCAGGTCACCAAGCAACTTTGAGACATAGCATGCTTTCTAGATTTCAGATATCACACTCTTAATAAATCCTACTCTATTTTCAAAAGTAGTATACCCCTAAGATAATTCTGAAGATTTATTTCCTCAAGTTTCAGCATGGTTGTTCATTTTCTACACATTTTTGCTAAATCCTTACAGCCACAAGAGATTAGTACAAGCAATTGTGACTATAAAAGAAACAGGAAATCTAGCTAGATAATGAGGTGAAACTATATTTCCAGGATTATGTAACTTCTATGAGTCAAAAGGCAATATAGTCTATTGATCATTGCTACAACTATTTTTTTCAGATCTCAGTTTAAAATATCTAAGTCATAAGAATATTTGATATTCCGTTAGCTAAAGCAAAAGCAACTCCATTGTACAGTTCAAGTATTTCCTTGATAAAGAAAGTTTTCATTAAAAAAAGACCATTATTTCCCCCAAACAATTAAATACTGGGTCTCCAAGAAATGTTCCTAAGCATTTCATCTTCATATGTCTCTTCCATTCTGGATACTGTATATAATATATTTTAGGCAGATCTTAGATGTGCACTTTAACAAAAAGCTGAATTAGTTTTGGTTACTGCTTTTGTTCTTTGTTTTATGTGGTACTGGAGATTTAACCCAAGACCTTCACACATGCTACACAAAGGGTCTACCACTGAGCTATATCCCCAGTCCTTTTTTGTTTTTATTTTGAGATGAGGTCTCTCTAAGTTGCCAAGGCTGGTGTAGAACTTGGTTCTCCTGCCTCAGTATCCCAAGTACCTGGAATTATAGGGATGCACCACCTTAYCTGGCTGAATCAGGTTCTTGAGAGGGCCATTCCAACTTTATTTTCCCATACTCATACTTAAAGACAATTTATTTTTAGAACTACTTTCAATGTACAAAAAAATAGATAATCAGTAATCATCATTTCTAAAATTGAAAACCCTCATTATCATTAAGGCTTCACTTTTCTGGGAAATAAAGATATTTCCATTAGCTTTCATTGTCTTCTCCCAAATTTTAAAAAAAACACCATGACCTCTATATTACTCCTTTTTAACAACATGTTTACTGTATGATACAAGAAATAAAAACATTGAGTCCACTCTTTCTCAYACTTTCAGTTTCTACATGCTAATTCCTTAAAATAGCTTATCAAGAGGTAAGACCACACACTTGCTGGCATATTTAGTTTGCAAATACCACTTTCTTTTATCATTAAAGTATCTTTTGTATATCTTACAGGTCTGGCTCAAAGAAATGCTCTAGACTGAATCTCACTCAAGTATCTCAGAAGGAAACATCCTAAAGCAACACAATAATTATATTTAAATGAGATTAAAGAGAAAAATTTACTTTAAAATTAAGTACAGAAGTCATTTAAARCACAGACACTGTAGAGAAACCTGACTATTCCATCACTTATTTCTTCTTACATATCATAAAATTTTGGGTCTTCACCGCTTTGTCAATTCTCTTCAAATAATAGGTCTATTTCCAAGGGGAAAATGAAAAGTCAAGAAAGCTTTCATGTCTCATCACTTTCATTTGAGAAGAAGCTGGGTGCAGAAAAATTGGTTCAAGTTAATTCCTTGAGATCTATCAGTGAGCCTGAACCTCTCACTGATGCCAGTTCTCAGTCCTGGCTACAAACTGGCCGCACAGCTCCCTGGTCTCATCACTCTTTCTAGAAGCCACCTATCTGCACACTCAGAGGAGGGTGGTGAAATGAAAGCAGCTCAACTATTAGAGAATAATGAAGCACAGCCTCTATCCAAAGGTCATGGCTCAACAGCAAAGCCATGTCATCTGCAGATCCTCTTTTTGTTCCTAGTACAATCCTTAGGAGGGTGATACAGAAATTAGACCTTCTCTTGACAAGAAAATCCCTCCTCTTTTCTGGATGCCAGAAAACAAACACACAGGAAAAACATGAAAGAGAGAAAGTAGAGAAGCCAGGAGCTTGTCTCAAGCAGTTCACATTTGAATTCACCCCCAATGGAAAAACCGAACTCTTGTGGCCTTCACAGTTTATTTCCCCAGCTGATACAGTATTAAAACCAAATACAGCTGGGCAAGATAGTGCATGCCTGTAATCCCAGCAACTAGGAAGGCTGAGTCAAGTGCACCAAGTCTGAGGCCAACCTCAGAGACCCTATCTCAAAAACAAACAAAACCATGGGCTGGGATGTAGCTCAATGGTACAGGTAGGCCTTGCCTAGCATGCACAGGCCCTGTGCTCAATCCCAAGTAACACATACATACATATTCCCTCCCTTCCTCCCCCTGCCCTTACATAGGGGAATGAAAGAAACTGTTTGTTTCTAAGAACAAATCCAGAGAACAGGCTCAGCAGTGAGTGTGATATTTTACAGCTCAAATAATTATGAAAAATTAGGCATAAAACATCTATTGAGTATAAAAAATGAACCATACTGAATAATGCAATTTTCACTTGAAATCTTAAGGGAAATTTGTTCTAGAACACTCCATAAATACCAAAACCTAAAGATACCTAAGTCCCTTATATAAAATGGCATATAACCTACATACATGTTCCTGCATAAATAAATCATCTCCAGATTATATATAATACCTAATACAATGTAAAATTCCATATAAATTATTAAACTTCATTTTTAGGGAATAATGGCAAGAAAAATTCTCTACATGTTCAATACAGATGTAACCATCAGCTTTACTACACTTTCATCTCTGGTTGGTTAAAATCTGTGGACATGGATACAGAGAGCTGACTGAATGAATGAACACACACAAATATACACAAAGGAAAYGTGTAACAGGGCTTTCTTTTGGCTCTAGAGTGTGTCTTTCATTTTGTATACTTTTATTTGCAGAAATGAATGTTAGTGAAACAAAAAAAGGCTTATTTTTATGCTGAATATGCAATATTTCTAAATATCAAGGGCATTCATTAGAGTTAATATTTTCTTGTTAATTTTAAATTCTTCCAACTATAGCTCCTAAGATCTCATTTTCCTGGCATAAGAGTTCACATTTCCATTTTAAAAGCATATGCAGAGGTGACCACCTGCTTTAGCAGTCAGGCTGTACATACTGGGGCTTTCATTTTGAGGAACTTTTGAAGAAAGAGTGATATTAAATACTGAATATAAGCAGTCTTTTCATCTTACACTATACAGTAATTGCTTCCCACTTCATAATTATAGCATGAGTTACCATCTCTGACTTGCTTTCTAAGTGCTATGACCAGCATAGAAACACACACACACACACACACACACAACAAAGAACTTTATGGACTTACTCAAGGGAGTCAGATCTTTGGTAACTGCCAAGAAGAAATCATGGCTAGTCAGGCATAGCACAATAAGATACAGCATGAGAAATGACATACATTACTGGGCCCTGGTTCTAGGATATCATTTCTACTAAATGTCTTTAGAATTCAGACACTGCACAATTCTCAGTGTGAAACACCTCAGATAAAAAAATCATGGCAGCTTATAGATGGTGCTTATAATTATACATATATATTTCAGGGAAACTGTTTATAAATATTTGAATATTATTTGCAGAATACAGTGAAGATGAGAAATATAGAGCACTTTCAACTATATTCTGGGAGCTAAATTGTAGCAACCAATGCTCTCAAAGTTACTTACTATCGAGTTGAGTTCAAATAGATCATCTATCTAGTCTAATGATGATAAAGATGAAAATCCTATCAGACCCGGACCATGGAGACAACTATATTCTGTATATATGGAGGCAAAAAAATACAATGGGAAAAGTGGTAGGGAGAGTATAGYAAAGCCCAATGAACAAATTATTTTAGATGTGTTTCATGCTGCATCATAGAGRAAACAAATGAATATGAGAAAGTAAATAAGCTACAAGGACTTAAATCCAACTAGAATGTCCTGGTTTATAAATAAATAAATAATGCATATTGAAAGACAAGAATTTAAACTCTCGTTTCAACATTACAAAAATTGTTTTTATCAAATATAAATCCCTTTCAATTATATCTTAAGAAAGCTGGCAAAAAAATACAATATCCACATATATAAATTCTTACCTTTGCTTGTCTCTTGTTGGCTTCTCTTCTGGCTTCCCTTTCTTTCAGTCTCTTCTCCTAAAAGAAAGATGGGGAAAATTAGCAACATATGAACTTTTATCTATTAGACATAAAACAAATTATTACTGTTTTATTTTTTAAAGCCAACTGATATGTGTAATTTGTTTTTCAGTAAACACTAAAAACACTTACTATGGAACTGGCATAAGTATTAAAAATCACTAAGTATGTGTCAGACAGACCTGGAATTAAATGCTGGGTCCACCACTTACTGGAACTTATTGTGCAGTTTTGAGCTTTATAYTTTCTAACTCAAAATAGAATGGAAAGAATTAGAGCACACGGTTTTATAAAGTTGATGTAACAATTCCAGAAAATACCTAAGTGATTAGCACAGCATCTGAGATACTACTGATACACAATGACAGAATAAAAATAAAAGGAAGAAAAATATGCAATCATGCCTATTTCCCTTGTCTTCTATTTGAAATGGAATTTAAAGAAGATATAAAATTCACACCCTGAGGGTTCTTAGGAAAGAAACATTCTTGCAAAACATGTTATTTTCATACTTTGCTTTCCCCATTAGTTTCCCCATTAGTTTTCCACCAATCACAAAATAGGAAATGCACACCAGGATTTTTTTTAAAAGAAAAAGAAACATATATGATATTAAAATTCAAAACAACAGGGGCTAGAAATATAGCTCAGTTGGTAAAGAACTTGCCTTACATGCATAAGGCCCTGGGTTCAATCCCCAGCACCAAAAAAAAAAAAAAAAAAAAAGAAAAGAAAGAAAAAGAAAAAGACATTACTTAGCTAAATAGTAAACAGAAAGAAAGCCATTTTAAAGCCATTTTTAAAACAATCAAAAATCTATCTTCCTCTCCAAACAAAAGTATTAACAAAGAGGCTATTCCTGAGAGCTTCTTTGGAGGTTCTAGCAGGGAAGCACAGTTACTAGTATACCCTTGTCCTTTCTCTAACTGGGAAGATGGTCTTCTTCAACACTTCTGGAGGGGTTTACCTAGAACAGTTAAGAAATGGACACCTACCTAGCCAGCCAGATCAGCCCAATCACAGCCAGATTACCTTCATGTCCAAAGAARCTATTCTTAATCCTAAATTCCTCATATTTTATGTTTTTTAAATGTTAATGAACAACTAGGTCAATGCAAAAAGAAAATAGTTTTCATGTAATAAGAGGAAAATGCAATCATGATTCACTATTGCATTAAACTGAGTCATCAACATGAGAGTGAACAGGGGGTTCTACACTGGGCATTCTTTCATTTCCATTATGCTTTGCACATAAATAACTTCCTTCAGATTCAAAAAACAATCCTAATCCATCACTCTAGAGGTAGAATTGCTAATATGTATGTTTTCTAAGTTTACAGACTTCTTTATGATAAAGTGAGAAGACAAATGTTAAAAGTCTCCAAGAAGATCAAACACTAATGTCAAAAAGAATGGAGTCCACCAGGCTTCTAGATTCAGTTTCTATAGCTTCAGATTACATAGTAAAAAAGCTAAATTCTAAGTGAAGTTGAAAATTCAAATTCAAATGGCTGTTGGTTGAGTTATGTTCCTAAGTATGCCTAATGCTAAATTGTTCTTCTGTGCCTATTCTTTTTCTTCTTTCTAACCTTTGGAAATTATGGTTAGTACTCTGATTTCCAAATAAAGTATACAATTAGCAAGGACATCTGCAATTACAAAATTATACCATAACATTCTAAAGATTACTTGGAAGTTGCAGAAATCAAAGTCAAAGGAAGGAACAAGAGAGCTAAACAAAAACTCAAAAAAGAATTTGACTTGYTTATTGTAAAGTCTTTATTTGGTTACTAGGAGATTAATCCAAAAGCTGGGTCTTCATATGTCATATCTAGTACTTTTTCCAATACATTCTAATAAAAATAAAAATGTTCACATTTGGGGTTAAATAGTAACAGGTGTGACTTTAACAACCCAAGAAAATAATACTAGTATTTGAACAAGCAGCCAATTAATGCAGTAGTTATTATCAAACTCTATCCCTGAATAGGTTCTCTAATGAGATTATGAAAAATGTCCTGCCTCTAAAATAATCTCCAACTTTCTTCAATTTGTGGGGAAAAAATAGGTTAATGGATGACTGTTTCTAAATAATTTGCACCCAAATTTTTCATAAACCTGACACCAATTACTGATTTTCTTTGAACATTAGCAGACTACAAAATACATAAATAGCAAAAAGTATTAGAAAAAATATTAAAATAACTAATATTAATTTTGCTTAGTTGCTGGCTCTAGTTTGTGGTTACATGTATTTATAATTTTCTCTCTCTTCTGTATTACCTTCCACTGAAAGGACAATTTAATCCTATTATTAAAAAAAAAGTTTTTCTGCTTTAGATACTAAAATTAAACATAATAGTAATTTTTTGCTAGTCTACAATAAGAATGACTTTCAAAAGTTTTGTTGCTTAACTTACTTTTAAATCTACAGCTATATAAAACACTAGCTACAGAGATCAATAAAATTTTACTTTCCACAAATTTTTATTTGTCCATAAGTACATTATTACCATTWTTGTTATTTTCTTACAAACAGTTACAGTTCTTTAGTAATTATCAGCATTTCACTATAAACTTGTATTTGAAAACCTATGTGATAGAATTTATGAGATATTATTTTCCCCATTTTATAGAGAAAAAAAGTGAAAGGCCAAAGTAATGAAGTCACTTGTGTACTTGTCAAGTACACAGTGAGTAACAGGCCTGGGATTATCCTGGGTCCATGGAGATACTGCAACATACACTCAATGTTTCTTCATTCGAAATGTTCATTTWACTTTGTATAGTCAGTCATATGTAGTATTTTTCTCCCACCAACAGGCTTAGACAAGTGGTGTGTTTCTTTTATTACTAATAGTCTGCTACTATGAATCTTTTCATATTTTTCTGACATTTTATGGACTTAATTAATTTTTGACAGTCTCCTGTGCAGAACAGATAACTGACCACACTTAACAGTCACAAAATTTTGGGTTGTAATTATTCAATAACACATGAGAATATCTGAAAAATGACACTTCAATTTGCAAGTAACCTCACCATCAGAAAAACCCTTTCTATATAACTAAACACTTCTCATTTCTGAGCATTTCATCTAGCCATCTTAATCACAGCAGGAAAACACAATATTGACAATTTTCTTCTTCTACTGAATTTCAATAATAATTCAGTATAGTCACTAAATGGTATCTTAAATTTCAGATTTCAATATCAGAAATCACATATGCAAAAGTAATCATTTTTGCCTACTGACATTTTCTGACTGTAGTCTCAAATAGATGAGTGACATCCACAGACATTTACAAAATGGCCAAGACATAAAAGGGAAGTGCATTAAAGGCAACCACCTTTCAATACTGGATGAAAYAAAAGGAAAATAATTTGAAGTATATCATTAGAAAACTTTTCTTTATTTTAAAAGGTTATGTTAGTACTCTGCCTGAAAAAGAGACAAGAGTAAAGAGTTCTCTTTAAAGTTAAAAGAAAGTAAAATTACAGGAATTCAAAATTTGGGATATATAGATATAAGGAAGAAAGCACCTTTTTTCTTTACTGAGGTAATAAAAAAATTTATAAGGTCGTGATACATCAAAGATAAAAGGTCAGAGTACTTGAAGCCAAAATATAATTTAATTTTATTTTATTCAGTAACTTAGGTTTCCCCCTCAATATCATCTGGTTCAAATGTTTTAAATCCTTTATTTTTCTATTTCATTTCTAAAAGAGTAATGTCACCAAAAACTATTTTCCTATTTCTAGGAGAGTACTAATATAAAAAACTATTTTAGGCCACACAAAAAGACAAAATTTTATCTTTAGTTCTACCATGCTACAAATGATTAAATATAAGGACAGCATGAAATTCAATAATGAAAATCAAATTCACAAGGGAAAGGAAAACAGAAAATCACATTTCAAGGTACAAAATACTCCCCTTATAGCGATTATAAAGCTTTTGGCCTCACACATACTATAGGTCCTTATCCTCCAGAAAAGAAYGAACCATGAAATATGACTTTCATCAGCAGTCAGGACAATGTATTTAAACCTTTTTCACTCTCTGACAATACTTAAATCTATTTGTAGATCTGGAAATAAAACTCATTTTTCAGGAAGTAATGAAAACATGACCCATATGGATGAGTTTGGAGGAACTGTGACAGTTTGGAAAGGAGTAGAGTAGCAACTATCATACAGGGATCAAGGGGATATCTAGCTTTATTTCAGTATTAAAAGCACCTCTTTTCAGGTAAGAAAATTGACTCAAAAAAAGTGCATAAAAGAATATTTATAAGAATCTTAAAGCCTGAAGGAATCCCCTGCTCTCCAAGGACAAAATCCTAGAAAATCTAAATCCTTCCCAGGAACTCAGAACACAGTAAGATTCTTTTGATCTGTTACCTATTCTTTTAAGTTTCATTTGAACAATATAAAAAAGTAGTCTTTTATATATAAATCTGGAATAATTACAATAAGAATGTGAAGACAGAAAAAAAAAATTGATATGGAAACAACAATTCACCAGTTAATTTCTTTGACTATTTGATGAGATACTCTATGCCATGTGGCTGTGGGTATAAAGAAATAGATAAAACAAATGGTTCAATCTCCTGTGACGTCTATCACCCCATATCCTATCAAATTGGACACCATAAGCACCAAACTCTGCTCTGTGCTCATCAATACAAGTCTCCAACTAGTTTCAATCAATATAATCATCAATCCATCTCTTAAAATTATATGGTATTTTTTAAAATTCATAAAAAATTAAAATATAAGTTATAAAAATCTCAAAGACTTATTATAAAGTTGATAGATTCAATGGGGGCAGGGAAGAGACATTGGTCAAAGGATGTAATGTTTTAAATAAACATCAGAAATAAGTTCTAGGGATCTATTGCACAACATGGTGACTATGATTGATAATACTGTATTATATGTTCAGAGTAGAGATGATTTTAAATTTTCATACCACAAATACATAATAATCATTTGAGATGACAATTACCCTGATTTGATTACTGTATAATGTATACTTGTAACAAATCACAACATAAATATATATCATTTGTATTAGAACACATATAATACACATTAGTAAATATCTTAAAATAAGTTAAAAACTTTTTAATGAAAAAAATCTTTATATCCCAGGGGCTGGGGATGTGGCTCAAGCAGTAGCGCACTCGCCTGGCATGCGTGCGGCCCGGGTTCGATCCTCAGCACCACATACAAACAAAGATGTTGTGTCAGCCGAAAACTAAAAAATAAATATTAAAAAAATTCTCTCTCTCTTAAAAAAAATCTTTATATCCCAGTTTAAGACTTTAAGACAAGTATAAATATTAGAGTCATGGTAGAAATTATGTAGCTTCCAAAATTTGGTAGGTGAAAACAGAAATCAAAGACAAGTGTGATAAGAGAGAGGACAAAATAAGAGAAACAAAATGAATACCTGAGTCCTACATTATATAGGCTGAGAACACATCTAAAACTATAATTTAAGACTGTTAACTTTAAAAGCTAGAGGGAACAACTACTGTCAGGATCATTAAGAATAAATTCACTTACATATAAAATACCTTTTAAATAAAAAATTTCATCGTGAAATATTTTGAACAAGCTGGGTAAAAAATTCTAAAAGCTTATAAAATCTAAAATCAATATATATTTAAAAAATATATGTGAAATAGAGAAACATGCCATCAGTTTTATACAGTTTCATTTTTTCCATGCAAAATTAATCAGACACATCATTATTCATAATTTTGCATCAAAAGTTTCTTAACCTTTATCTATCATCATGAAGTAAAGCTTATTCCCAGATTCTAATGTTAGTATTTTCAAAATTCACTGGGGACAGAGAACTCTTCTTAGTACACTTTCATAGAAGTAACAAAATTATGAGTGATAGCCTCCAAAAGTGACAAAATTACATTTGCTCAAAGCAAAACCTCATGCTAGAAGAATACTGTCATCATGGTAATATTAGTAATACAATATTATTTCAACATCAACAATGTGTTCAGCAATTAATTGAAACAAAATAATCTGTTCAGGATTACTAATAGTTTTTYAAGTAAAATTTTGTAACTACTGGAAAATAAGTGAACAAGAAAAAAATGTCATCAAAGCAATATGATTTGTCATGGAGGAAAAATTATAAATGAAAATTCCATTTTCCCCAAAAAGTAAAGGCAATTTTATTCCCATGTCTTGACTGGATATACAGAGCCAGAAGATCTCACTGGTCGTCTAAGACTAACTCCTATTCCCTTGTCATTTTTAGAAATGTACAGTCCAAATTGGTGACTGGTTACTCAAATTGAACTACATAATGCCATACTCAGTAGTCAACTGCAAGTATTCTCCCTGACAGCCCAGTACTGTTTCCACTAACCACCACTACTGCTTCACTATGCCATACAATACAACTTCCCATTTAAAATAATATTCCATGTATCTTCAGGACAGAATCCATTCCATGAAAGTTTGGTGCATAAGTAATTTGAATACCCACACTGTATTTTATACATGTTATTATTATATAAACATATTAATTCCAAAGTGCTCACAAATGTAAATTTTTCTCTTCTTCAATACACACAAATATATGTATACGTAAATGTTACTGTTGAAAATACTACCAAGAAACCAATCATGTGAGTTGAGTATTAGGTAGCATTTACATTCAAGTTTAATGCAGACAACTAATCTAGCTATTTCAATTGTGCCCTATCACAATACTACTTAATTCCCTAAAAGAGGACATTTCACTAATCAATTAATGGAGTAAGGCAGCTATGCCATGAGCTGTCATATGTAGGATATACCCCTTTTATCTGAAATAGAAAGCTTTCACTGATTTTTTGAAAAGACTTGCTCTTTTAGGTACAGAGACACTGTAGTCCGTCCTACTATGGTACTATGTAAAGATCTGGTGATATTTCTTTGAAGTTTATCAGCTCAAAACAACTTTGTGCGACCTTGTTGTGAGATAATCCATGAGATTGTTTGAAGCTATGCTATATTTTAACACTGGTACAAAGAAAATTAAAATTAAAAACTCAAAAATAAGTGAAGCAGAAAAGCATAAACATTATATTCAGAAGGCTCGCTCTCAGGTAAGAAAAGGAGAAAGTAAGAGTATGGTATTTCCATTTACTCCTCTTTGCATAAAAGGCCCCATTAAAAGGAAATAAAAGTAGAGAGCTGTCAGGGTGGGGTATGAAAGACAAGTATAGGCACAAGCAAAAATTTTCAATATGCTTTTTTACATCTTGAATTTTGAATCATGTATATTATTCATCACAAAAAAATGCCATAAAATAAAGATACAGATTTTGAACAGTGCCAGTATAGCCACAGTTAACAATCACTTATTTATATTCTTCCTAAGAGGCCTCATATATTTTAACAGATGATATTCACAGTCTAGACTGTGTAACACATGGACAATTAGCCCATTTGACACAAAGTTTCTAAAAGTTTCAGAAACAATATTAAAAATTGGAAATAGTATAACTTCTACAAATGGAAAAGAAAGGGGAAGGAGGGATGATCTTATTTATATTCTTCATATTTCTCTTACTATAACTTAGAAATAATAAAGGGTCAAACCTTCTTACACTCTATTTGCTCCAAGATAAGTACTCTAAGTAGAATGTAAGCCAAAACATAGCAAATTGCTGACAGTCTTCAGTATTTCCAACGATTTTAACAACTTGTTAACACCAAATTTCAATTCAATTTCAAAGAAATTTTAATACAATTTCAAAGGAAGTAATGCAAAAAATGTCTCTCAATAACATAAACATCCAAAAACTACAACCAGTATATTTTTGATTGATTTGTTCTCCACATTTCTGAATGTTTTTCACAACATTCATTTCCCTCCCTAAAGCTATGTTTAATATCTACTTTTTCCTTTTTCACCAAATGCTATTGTGAAATTCTATCAAATGGTCAAGAAGCTATAATTACTGCTCTCTTTTAAAAAAAWTTTTTAAAGTGTTCTGGCCCATTAAAAAGTGATAAATTAGTTCAAAGAAGAGTGAAAAACTACAAGAATCTCTCTTGAGATGCTGCTAATAAGGTCCATATCCAAAGGCTTCAGAGGTTCTTAACACAGAATCTAGTATTATGGCAGTGATTCTCAGGTATGATACTGTGCTACTCTGGAATCATTGTCTCAAAGATATGCTACATAAAGTTTTTTAAAAGTGTAAATCTGCTTTACTTCATTAACTAATCTAGTGAAATGTCCACTTTTAGGGAATTAAATAGTATGCTTGATAGGGCAATAATATGTATAACAGAAAACTGCCAAGTTTAAGACTACCAGGAACATGCCTATTTAGAAGCATTCCCTCTTAACAGGTTTCCACTTTTTTTAAGGCAGTGAATTTAATTTTATATTTATTATCAAATAATTGATATGAAAAGAAATTTAGCTGAATTTAATTGAATCTGGAAGTAATACCAATGTCCCTCATGGTAAAACAAACCTTGGTGAATCCAAACAATGAAATACTACTCAGTATTAGTGGTGTTGATTCACACAACTTGGGCAATTCTTCAGGGAAAAAAAATGCCAAACAATAAAAGCCAATCTCTAAAGGCTACATATTGGGGCTAAGAATATTGCTCTGTAGAGCAAATGCTAGCAACATAAGGCCCTGCATTTGATCCCTAGCACTTGGGGGGTTGGAGGGRAGTACAAAAGGTATATATACTGTATAGTTTCATATACAATATACTGAGCAGTTTCATATACAAAACATTCTGTGGTGACAAAAACTATAGAAATGGAGAACATGGGATCTCTCTGTATTACTTCCTACAAGTACACATCAAACAAGAATTACATCAAAATAAACATTTTACTAAAGTCATGTGTCACTAGGTGGTTTCACTATTGTGCATACATTGTAAGTAAACTCACAGAAACTGAGAAGGCTCCAACATCACTACCCCACATAATCTTATGGGACCACTATAATTAATATATGTGGTCCATTATTGATTGAAACATTATAGGACTAGGGATGTAGCTCAGTGTACAGCGCTTGATTCATATGTGCAAGGCCCTGGGTTCAACCCTCAGCACTGCTTTAAAAAAAAAAAAAAAAGGAAAAAGAAAAAAAAACAATGTTATGTGGGGTGTGACTATAATTTTAAAACCCACTAATATTATATGAGTCACCTCAGACCAAAAGCAGATCTATATGACACTATCAGAGAGATGTCAATATTATAAAGACTCTCCTAGTAGAAGAACCAAAGGAACAGATAAAATGATGATAGCCACAGGAAAAAGCATCAGAAAACAATGAAAAAAGTCATATCATTTTTACCTGAGTATTTATATTTCTTTAGGGACATAATAAATTTCACTTAGTACTAATTCAAAATGGAATGCTTACCCGATGCTTTGCCTTAATTTTCTTCCTATATTCTTCTTTGTCAAATTTGTCCTCTTCCTGAAGCCTTTCCTTTGCTTTATCTAAGTTGATACCACCAGTGTCATCATCCTCCTCCTTATCATTCATAGTGGATTTCTGCATCTGTGGCCACTGCTGAACCAACTACAGACGAGAGAGATAAGTATGGAATAAGAAACAGGAAACATTCACAGAAACCCTTTTCTTTTGTGTAACAACTTTAAAAGTTGKTATATGTATACTCACTTTCTGCCTTATAACTATATTTCTTAAGTTTTCTCACAAACTTCATAATTCAAGTAAGCAAGCCCTCCCCCAATGCCCCACAAAAAGTCCCAGTAGGGGTAAAGTAATGCTGTCATAACCTATTAAGAACACAATAAAACGAAAATTTTACAAAATTATTTGGAGAAGGTAGGCTCAAAATAGAAATGCTTTGTAATGGTGTTCCCTAATACCCTAGCCTAATCTCCATACAATTCAGGTAAAAATTACCCACGTAGAGTAGGACTTGAGCTGACCAACATGTACCTCCTTTAGGCTACCAAGGCACCTGTACCTCTATATCTTATCATACTGTACTGGTTTACTTTCCTGTTTCTCTTACTAGAATTAATCTCCTTGAGGACAGTTGTACCCCAGTACGGTATGAAATACATAGCAAACACTTGCTCAAAACTGATGAACAAATCACCTTACAGCCAATATTACACATAAGCAATGAAATACATGTAAAGGAGAAACTTAGCTTGGATTTCCTGAACTGTTCACATTCAAATGATTCTKTATGCATAATTTATGGACAGGATCAAGGTGATAGGCAGGTTAGTCACTAATCTAAGAGTTGGGGGACCTAGCTGAATGTGTTGGCTTTTTCACTAGCCTACTGAATAATGATGAATAAATTAATTAGTCACCAGTAGCTTGTGTCCTTTCCAGAAAAATAAAGCCATTCCTTGGTGATTTGTAGGTCCAACATAAAAATATAAAACTCGACAATTTAGACAAAAATGTTCACTTATTTAATAATTGGTTGCCAGAAAGATGTGAGTAGGTGTCACTGTTTTGGAAAGACTAATTAGCMTGCAGTCTCATGGAAATCGGAGACACACACCTCACAGACCCTCGTGCATCCTTGCCTCCTCTCACTCTTGTAGTCACCACAGGCATTCTTTGGGATGCGATATCTACAGTCTCAACTTCTGGCAACCAATGGAGGTGATGAACATTACTAAACGACAGGCAATACTAGCAGTTACTGAGCCTAAATCTGCCAAAGAGAGGGGTCACTCCTGACAAAAACACCATCCATTACTCAAACTCCTCATTCTGATTTGTATTGAAGAGGATAAAAAGTGTGCCCTTCTATGGGCTACACTATAAGCAGCACTTTTAGAGTTTTAGATCAGAAGTTTCAGTGTGGTGGATAACCTCCACAATAGACAGCAATAGACATAAACTGAAACATTTTACAGTTACAGATTTATACTCATATTGAAGCTAACTGGTATAATCTGTGCAGATAAACTGAGCAGCATACTAAGGAATCTCATTACTATAACAACATTCACTTTATTTTACTGTGAACACCTGATGTAATAGGTCTACATCCTAGTTTAGCCTGCTTCTCAGATATTTATCACTTTTTAATAATTTTGGCACATTAAATTATTTATCATATATAGTATTTTTCACTTCCAGCAACTTTGAGTCACTATGTATACTGTGTTATTCTTCATTTAATTCATATATCCCAAAATAACATCCAAATCCTTAGTACTTCCAAAACAAAAAGGAAAAACTGGATATAGACTACTTAAGCAGCATTTACATTAGTGAAGATAAAATATATGTGATACTTTAGTCAATATGAAAAGCTATTATTTTTTTTKGAAAAATAAATGATTCATTCAAGAAATCTGGGGGTTTTCATGTTAGCACTGTTATAGGTACTGGGGACTGATAGTGAACAAAGTCAACAAAATAACTAACTTTCTTCACATCCATTTTTCCTTCACAGAAAAGTGGAGAAGAAATTGACAATAGTCAAATAATAGATTGAGGTTACAAACCAAGCTCTGTGAAGAAAAGTTATAAAAGATGAAATAAGATTATGATGTGTGTAAGTTGCTGTGTGGTCAGAAAAATTTGCATGTAGTGAGGATGAGGTCATCTGAAATATTCAGAAGAACCTGATATACTGTTCACTTCTTAAGTTAAACCACTCAATGTCCTGGATCTATTTTATCATTTAAAAACAAAATAACTATTATGTAAAATAAGGACCTTCCTGTGAAAAGCTTTGAGTTATAATCCCTTCCCTATGATTTTTTAATATAACTGTTTATTTAAAACCAGGCCACAATAAGGGTGAGATAAAGGCACATGTGTGTCTGAGATTACTTAAAGGCAGAGAATTTCCTTCTGTAGCCAACCCAGCAAGAATGTGCAAGAACAGCATCTAAAGCGAAAAACTCTCTGGCAAGACAAGTAGTTATTAATATTCTTATGGTTGTTCCATAGAAGAATTTGATAAAAACCATGATAAGAAAATCTTATAAAATCAGAATTTATGAAGTTCAAGATCATTTTTGTGTCAGCATCACCAAAAAGTATCTCAAGTTTAATGCCAAGAATTCATCCTTGTCCAGAGCTATAGAGCTGATCAAATGCCTGCAGGGGTAGCTAAAGGAACTGACTATTGCTATACAGAAACACAGGCCTTTTCAAGAAGTAGTCATTAGGAGAGTCAAACTTCTTAATATTTGCAATGTATCCCAGAAATGAAGCTTTCAGACTCTTACCTCCCCTTCATCAGTAAATGTTATTTTCTTATTCACTTTAAAATTTCTCTTCATTACTTTTTTTGCTTCTGCCACTTTGGTTACTTTTTTCTTGACACTGGATTTAGAAGGTTCTTTCTTCTGCAAAACAACAACAACAACAACAACAAAAGACAATTAGGGTAAAGGTTGCTTTATATTAATTTAACTCAAGCAATATACTTTCCAATATTGAGTGCATTTATTGCTCTTGTTGGTAATGAGAAGCATCAAAAACACTGAACAGAAATAAAAAGTTATTAGATTTATTAACTAATGACTCCCCCAAAGCTAAAAGGATTTAAATGTGAATTCAATAGGTATTAGATATAAATAAACTTTACATTTTCTTCTATTGCTAGAATTGGACTATCTGAAAATGTTGAAGTACCAGAAACCACATGACAATGTAATAAATGGACATAAAATATAGCTGTCTCTCCCAGCTAAAATACAAAATATATTTTTAAATTCCCAAGCACAAACTTCAATTTCTAGACTATGAAAATGTATACTTGGAAAACAAAATGATTAATGCATCGTTTGCAACTCAACATTCTTCCACCAATTACAATGACTTACTCTACGTGCCCAGAAAAACAWCTGTGATGATTAGGCTGTGCCAGAGGTGAAATAAAATAACTCCATAATAGGATAGACTGATCAGGACCAAGTTAATGTCCTAAAACCTCTATGGAATGGTATTAAAAATTCAAAGGCACGCTGACTAATGCTAGGTGAAAAATGCTGAGAACGCCACCAGACATGCAGGGTGTAAGAGATCACAGCATTGTCTGCTTGTAATAAGAGGGTGACAAGAAGCAACATGTGTCTSGAGAGGATTTTTATCATTCTCCTTGAAGATTTCTCATTAGTGGTGTTTGAGATGAAGTCACTGGTACACTGTTTAAGAAAATGTATTTGTGCTCAAGCTGTACCACTTACTAGGTATGCTGGGAGAAGTAGATAGTAGACATAAAACATCAAAAGAAATGTTCAATAAATCTAAAATATTATCATTACATATTGATTTTATGTTGCATGAAGAGAATGTGCCAACTGGATAGGACCTTACTTTGCAAAATACCAGACCCCAAGCTTCCTAGTTTTAAATTCTGTACCATAGGGAACCACCCAAGGAAAAGTAAAATGGTTCTGATCTAGAAAACCAAAAATCATCAGAAGCTCTGAAAAGACATAGATGGGTTATAACCATTATACTGTGGTAAAAAATATGCATAAAATTCATTTAATAAGCAGATATGATTAATGATGCATAGGTCAAATGCTTAAAAATAAAACACTATAGAATTATAAACAACTAAAATAGAGGTTTATGACAACTTAGTAATGTATTCTAGTTTTAGATAATGAGGTTTGTTACAAAATAAGCCAGTACATCTGCAATAATAGTATAAGTACAATAAAGTTATTTTGATACCCTAGTTCTCTTATGTATTACTAACAACACTGTCTTTGTATTCTTGATTCTTAATGAAAGAAAGCTATAGCATTTAATCACATTTATTTATTTCTTGGACAATAATCAACTTATATTTAATAAGCTATTAACATCTTCAATCTTATAAGATTTAATAGCCCATTCCTACAGACTGGAGACAAATGTCGAAGCATGGTGATACCAAAAATTGTCAGAACAGAATAAACATCAGTCAAAGAAATAATGCCACAGAAGCAAACTTTAGAGCAAGGTAGTGGGGTCTAGTTGCAGACCTTCAAAGAAGTCCATGAAACTGCATGATAACATTTGGAGATATGTGTATCTTTGCCTTTTTATGATTTATCTTGATTTCTAAAAGGGATTTGTGTACCAACCCCCACCCTGGAAAAAAAAAGTTATTTTTAAAATTTAGGTAAGCTACTGAAAAAACAGCCTGCCAATATACAACAGAATAGAGTTAACATACTTTCCTGATAGGCTGTGGTTTTTCTCTGAAACTGCAGAATTATTCACTTATTCAAATAAACACTGTCAACTACACAGAATACATCTGTTAGCCTTCTGTCACTGATAAAAATATGAGATAACCAACTTATAAACGGAAAAGGTTTATTTTGACGCACATATTTATAAAAACACTTCAGACCATGATGGGTTGACTCTATTGTTTTGAGCAAGGCAGCATATCATGATGGGAGCACATGGTGGAGTGAAACTACATGGCCCCACCCCCCAAACAAACAAACCTGCTTGCCACTTTTGCAAGGAAACAAACAAGAAGAATAGGATGAGGATAAAGTCCTATTGTCTCCTCAAAGAGTATGCCTCCAATGACCTTAACACCTCYCATTAAATCCCACCTCTTAAAGGTCCAATGACCTCCCAATAGCACTGTACTGGACAAAGCCTTTATCACACAGAAATTTTACCACACCTAAGATCCAAATTATAGCTCCACTGCAGTACAGACCCAGGACCCAGCAGTACAAACCCAGGACCTAGCAGTACAAGGTAGGTGGGCTCTAAACATTCTTGGATCCTAAATTTATCCATGGAAAAGGATATTAAGCAAAAATAAATTTTCTTAAAAAAATAACTATTTAATCACAAATGTAATCATTTGCATTCAAGTATGACAGAACCTTATTTTTCTGTGAATCATTTATATTCTTTGTTCATAGTTCTAATGAATCCCTGGTATTTTATTTATCAATTTGTAGTATCCATTCCTAAAATATGATTCAATATTTTCCTCTGTGCCATCAGCTATATTTAGACTCTTGTCATAAAGTCATTTTAAAAATTCTTTTTTTCCCCTTGCCAAAGATTTTTTTTAATATACAATCAATTTTATTACTTTAAAATGTTCTCTTTTTAAAATGTTCTCTTGGGTTGTGCCATGTTTTATACTTTTCCAACTAAAAGATTTTTAAAAATGAATTTGCCTTTTTAAAATGCAGGTTTTATTTCCCACCCCTTGGGTAGTTTCAACAATGGTTCTTAGACAGTAGTTCATTGACATTTTGCATTTCTGTTTGTAAAGACATAAAAACCATAAGAATATATTTACTGTTAGGCAGAAGTTACACTGTAACTACAAAACTGTATTATAAGTACAAGAATAAAATTTGAGGCAAAAAAAAGAAGCATAATAAAACATTTTGCAGACAAGACATAAAAAACATCAAAATGTCATGTTTGATCCAATTTGTATTTCTTCTACAACATGTGTCCTAGTCCTTATAAACTAAAATGCTAAAAAGAAAATGTAAAATATGAAATTGATAAAGCATCAAGTTATCTTCAAGGTACAGTGTTAGCCATAGGAAGTTGCTATTCTAATAACTCAGAAAATAAAAGAACAGCCACCAGTCTCAAAACAATGATGACTGTAAAAACATTGGCTTTAAGATTCAAAACATAATCAATGAAAAATAAACACCTTARTAACGCTAAGCATTATTAATAGATATTCTAGCAAAGAAAATAAAGATACTGTTTTTAAAAATGGTATTTTAGTGAAAAGCAAAAAAATTCAGGGAAATCAATATTAGAATTAAACTGAAAGACAAACCAATCAAATTAAACTTTATGTCTCAAGTGACTCCTCCTACCTGTGCCACTAATAGTTTACAATGACCACAAGAAGGGTTAAAGACTGCTAAATAAGAAAAACTAAAATTATATAAAAGAATATGTATAAATTACAGATTATAGAAATGATCTTAGAGTGGTCTAAAAAATGTCAGGATTTTCCTTTTTAAAAATGCCTACATCTGGGGCTGGGGTTGTGGCTCAGTGGCAGAGCTCATGCCTCACACATGTGAGGCACTGGGTTCGATCCTTAGCATCACATAAAAGTAAGTAAATATAATAAAGATATTTTTTAAAAATGTCCACATCTACCCATGTAAAGTTTATAGAGCGCACAATAAAATAAATCTTGGTCATATGCATAAATTTGGAATTATAAGAATTCAGGAGAAAGACAAAAGTCCTATCTGGTCCACCCAGCTCCCAGTTACCATTATTTCTGGAATGGACTGCTTATTACAATAGCCTTTTAGGCTGACTCTCTGGTGGTTTTTTTGTTTTGTTTTGTTTTTTGCTTATAYATAATAGTAGAATGTATTTTGGAAGAATATACATACACAGAGTATAACTCATTCTATTTAAATCCCCACTCTTGTGGTCTATATGATGTGGAGTTACCCTGGTTGTGTATACAAATACAAGATTAGGAAAGTTTTAACCAATTAATTCTGCCTCTCCTATTCCCCTCCCCTTCCTTCCCTTCAGTTCACTTGGTGGGCGGGGTGGGGGGGGCGTGCCAGGGATTAAACTCAGGGGCACTTGACCACCAAGCCACATCTCCAGCCCTATTTTTTTTTTTAAGAGACATAGTCTGAGTTACTTATCACCTTGTTTTTGCTAAGGCTGGCTTTTAACTCCTGATCCTCCTGCCTCAGTCTTCCAAGCTGCTTCAATCACAGGCGTGAACCACTGAGTTGGGCCTCATTCTTGATGCCCCTAGAGCAAAAACTCACTGAAATTCCTTTTTTTCTTACTTTGTTTCTAATAGACTGCAACCTCCACAAAGGATAACATTAATGTTACATCTATTTCCATAGTATATCACAGAAAAGGTGGCATGTAGGGAACATTTTCAAGAACAGAGTTCTTGAAAGAATTCATTAATAAACTATGTAAGCATTGCTTCTTTTTCGGCTCATAACAACCCTAAGTCAAATCTTGTCCCTACTGACAGTTTTTATATTAAAAGGCCAAAGCTTGATTAATCCAGCAACTGTTCAAGTTTGCATCAAGCTAACTGAAGTATTTGACATTCACATTCTACAATGCTTAGCTGATATCTGTTCAAACTGTAATAGAAGACCATGTCATTGTAATTTGACTGCATTTCACATTTAAATTTCTATCAATTTAGCAAAAATGTTTGAGAATTGCCAAGAAACTCTTAGTTTTTGAAACTCTTTAAATAGTCATTTACTAAGGTTGTTTTCAGATTTTAGATTTTATTTTGATGTAGTTTGGTTTCAAAAATAACTGTTTTCACATCAAAATACATATTTTCAATATTGAATATGCTATTTTTGAACTATAAAGCCCCAACCATACT